TAATCTCCGTAGTCAGCATCGCATACTACTATCTTTCCCTTTGCAGAATCACTGTCCAGGCAACCTTCACGACAAAGTCTGATGTGCAACAAGTCAGTGGTTTAGCTACAGAATAATTAAATTATCATTTCAAGTTAAAAAGAAATGGGAACAAGAATCACCCCGCATCTAGTTGAGTGCAATTTTTCGTTGCAGCATCTTTTCCATATATTAGAGGAAAACTTGTTCCATTTGATGCGTAAGTGTTAACGGAATTCCCCTGTTTGGTAAAGTTCATCGGAAATCAAGTAGAATATACAAGTACGCAATAAAAGTATTTCAAGGATGAAAGAAGTTGATGATACTTACAACAAGTGTCTTTCCGTTTGCAAGAACAACCTTGTCAATGATATGGCGATCTATGGTACTAGCTGCAACGAGCAATACCCATGGTGCAAAATCTGACAAAGTAGCGGGTCCGGGACCTTCATTGCCTGCCGACTGTGTGGTCAGTATCCCTTTCTTCATTGCATGAAAAGCACCAATTAACATAGGATCCTCATCAAATCGAATTCCCGAATCAGCTCCCATTTGAATCATAATGACATCAACTCCATCGGCAACAGCATCATCAAAGGCAGCCAAGATACTCTCTATTCTGCATGTATTAGCACAGACTTTGTATGCTGCTATTCTTGCAGAAGGAACACCTCCTCTTGCAGTACCATTTGCTAGTTCATAAAAGCTTACGTCCTTAACAGCGTTGCCTGCTGCGATTGAGGCAACGTGAGTTCCATGGCCATCTTCATCCCTTGCTGACTCCGTATCATAGAACCAAGCTCCAATGAGCTTGCTACAAATTAAATATTGAAAAAAATTTGGCACTTTTCACAAACAATTACAATATCACTAAGTCAGTGATGAGAAGCGAGGGAACCTACTTGTTGCAAGTGAAATTTTTTCCACCTTCACAAGCACCTTTCCACCTCTTGGGAGGAGGACCAAAACCTTCGTCTTTAAAGCTCTCAGATTCCGGCCATATTCCACTGTCAATAACCCCCACAATTATATCACTTTCAACAGAGACTTTCGACTGGTTTTCTCATCTAAACCCATAAAGTCCCAAGATCTCGTCTTGTGAAGTTGGAATGTTGTGCTTGGAAAGACAGACACAACTTCTTTCATGCCTGCAATTCACAGTTTATAAACATACTAAATTTTCAAGCCAATCCATTTTACTCTTTTCAGATGACATAAGAAAGTATCTCACAACACTCACTAGCAAGTTTCTCTCTTTCCTTGTCAGTGAGTTTGGCAGCAAACCCATTGAAACTCCTTTTGTAACTTCGTACCAATAAATTTTCCGGTGAACTGGGAGGGCAAGAAAGTGTTGGTATTCACAAGAGTTTACTAACTCAATACCAAAATATGTGGGTGATAAGTTTACAAACTCTATCACACTTCTCACTTCCACTCTCAATAAAATTGGACAAAGAAATAGAGAAAGGAGGGAAGCAACAAGCTTTGGTAAAACACTTGGACTTTGATATATGAAAGAAGTAGCAAGCTTGGTGATAACAAACACTTTGAAATATTAGAAGAGTTTACAACTCTTAAAGCTTACAAGCTGAAAATGAGAATGGAAATGGGATTTGGATGATATTATCTAAGGCTTAGCAAGATGGCCTATTTATACAAAAACAGAAAAAATAAACAATCCAACAATACATATAATGAATGATGGTGTTCCACATCTTTACACCCTTTCAAACACATGCAGCAACTTTGATAGTTGGCATACACATGCATTGCATCATGGCAGGTTGTAATACCTTCCTTTCGGCTAACACATGGAGAAACACTGCTGTCTTCCTGCTAGCACATCACATGGCAGCACACTTGCTGTCTTTCATCACCATTTCAGCTAGCACATAGAGGAAACTTTAGACTTTGTAGTTGCAGCATGTGTGGATACAACCTGTAAAGAAACTAACAACTAGCAGCAACCTTTTACAACCTGTTTTTATTTGAATTTCCAACAGAAAGGACTATAAGGACTAGGTTTGTGACTAAAAAGACCAAAAGAAAATTTAATGTAAATACCTAACGTTCTAGATAGACTACCTGGTCTGAACAACTCTCTGCAGAATACTATGGTGGTGATTCAAGGGCGAGAACTCCCTGTCAGGAAGAGACCCCAAGTACACGATATGAACCTGCATCGTCATCATTGAAATTCCCAAAGAAAATCACTATTGTTCAAGGATTTCTCATGAAACGGAAACGTTTTATTATTAGTGGTAAAAGACTATTGTTTTTTCTTTTAATAAATAGAAAAAGGATTAATCGAGATTAAATCCTCAGATTAGCTCCTCGGAAGAGTTCATGCGAGTGCAAAGCATCTAGCCTCCCTCCCCCAGAATATTAATTCAAAATAAAGGAAACAGCTAGTCAGGGGACAATTGTTTTGCTGCACAAATAACTCATACCTTTCTATCCTCATCGATCGCCTTGCATAATAAGCTCGTACTCAGGATAAAAATGGAGAAAGCATAAGAAAGAAGAAGAGCTGCATTCTTAGCCATTTTTCTGTGCTCCAAGTTAACTTCATGCGTGAAGAGTAATATATATAGTGGGACTACTTAATGCACCCAGATTTTCTTTTATTAAGGGACCAGCAAATTTTCCTTTCATGAAAAACTCCAGACAAGTTTCCTTTCAAGAAAAACCCCGGATAAGTTTCCTTTCAGAAAAGCTTGGATTTGGCTACCCATGGAAAACATGCAGAGAGGGATTCAGTAACGGCAGCAACCAGCATTTATTACGCTAAACACATTAGCACGAGCTGTAACAATACTTGGGCTTTGCCTTTTGCAATAAGAAACCCATTGTCAAATTAAAGTGTGCAAATATGAGAGAAAATCGGCTAAGGTAGATTGGAAATGTGAATCGAAGGTCTACAAATGTTTCAGTTAGAAAATGAGGTTATGAGACAAAAGCTTAGGGCAAAAAGGGCAAAGGAAGACTTCGGAAGATGGGAAGAGACTTTAAGAAAAGACATGGAGTACTTGGAGCTAACGGGAAGGCTTGGTGCAAAATCAAGCATCGTGATATCCTAGAATTCATACAATCGACCCCACTTAATGAGAGAAGGTTTTGTTGTTGTTTGTTGTAAATACAAGGGGAGAGTTTACATAGGTAACTGGGAATAAACCCCTGCCTCTCTATTAGCACTTGAAAGCGGAAGCCTGAAAATTTAATCAACAGATGAACCGTTAATAACCATTTTATTTTTAGTTTTTAATTTTTATGCAGACATTAGTTTAGCCAAGTTAGGCCAGAACTCTTGGACTCAAATATTCTTAAGATGATCTCTTCTTTATTAATACTAACCTCTTGCAATTTGCTTTCTGGTTAGAGGGTAACATAGGAGAAGAACTTGCAACAAGAAACCCATCAGACCAAATTCGCCAGCACACACTTCAATGTTAAACAACAATTGGACTTCTAAAGTTGTGAACACCATCAGACCAAACCAGCGATCCAGACACTTGTAATCCCTTTGGTAAATCTCTTCCTACGACGATCACATCAAAAGTCTTCTCCTCGTTCAACTCGAACGAACGAACTTCAAGAACCACTTTGATGTCAACTTTGGAGTTCAAAGAGATTTTGGCCTTGTAGGTAGAGTTTGGGAGGCCAACATTTTTAACTCTTCTATGAAATTTAACTGTAAAAGATTCCTTTTCTGCAACTTTATCTCCCATTGAAGGGTAATTATGATCCTTTGCATATCTTTTCCTGATCCTTCAGGGCAAGTGCTGTTATCTTCTGATTTGCGTCTAACGTTGCCTTCATCAGACATTGTGCATAGCAACTTTATGTAATCTTCTTCAGAAGCTTCATACACAAGCCCCCGGGTTTACAGCTTTTACAGGATTGATACATCCCGATTCATTAGCAAATGCACCAGCGGAAATGTTGTTGTTGGTATCATGCTTTATGTTTATAATGTGACAAATGAAGCAATTGCTTTTGTCATAAAAATATATACCAGTCGTCATAAGAGATGGTTTGATGGCGGTGAGAGACCAATCAGGAATGCTTCAACATGTATTCAGCTGCAGCAGCAGCACGAGGATAAGATACGGAGGTTCCAGATAACATATTGTATTTTACACGCTTCTTGCCTTCTTCCAACTGTGTGATCGAAGCAATAGGTGAATCTGTGAATATGCAGCCAAATTCGGCCCCTGGGGCACTAATATCCGGCTGAGAAACATCATACTACAATTGTTATTTCCGTATCTATGAAATTTTATGAAAGATATACCGTAAGGCGACAGGAAACCTATACCTTTATGAAAGATCGTCTGAGTTGTCATTACGTACAATTGAACCAAGTGCACCGGCATCATATGCTGTTGTATCCCCGCATTCGGCATTGCCTACATCTTTCCCTTAACAGGATCACCGTCCAAGCAACCGTATTTGCAAAATCTGACGTGCAACAAGACAGTACTTTACTAACGAAAACTTCAAAGCTTCGACTAACATTGCTTAAATCCAGTATTTCCGCCCTATAAATCATGCATGGTACATTAAAATTACCCAAGTGTTTGTTCAAATTGTGTCTTCTTCGAAGTGTTTGTTCACTCTTCTACGGGGTTTTTTTAAGCCCCTTTTTTATCTTCGAGTTTTTGTGCTTCGAAAGGCATATCATGCACGAGGGATTCTTTCTGAGTAGTGATTTTCGTACTCCTAATTTCTCCTTTACACTTTGCCCTTGTTTTTGCCCGTTGAAGTCGACCAAAGGTGGTGCGACAATCACTTCCCTTTCTTTCCAAGTCTCTGCGCAACTACCACCTCCCCTTCTTTCCGAGTATCGACCAAATGTCCACGGACTCCATGAAATTTAAACCAATTTACAGGAGATATGGGGGATGCAGGCAAGATGTCTGCGTGAATGTGCGAGCAAAATAGAGGTTGGACAAATCAACGATAAATGTGTAAAGCAGTAGTGAATATGATGACGGGTTGTTATTCGAGAGGAAGTTGATTGCTATGTCGTTCATCGACAAGCATAAATAACTTACATGAGCTCTGAGAATACTGTAAACACAGAAAGAACTTGTAAATACTATTCGACTTGGGTTTCTCTAATTGAGATTACCGTTTTTCGAAAGTAAGATTACAATATCTTGTAAGTTACAACTGCATGAATTTGACTACAATAGTGTCACATATATATATAACTACATTTGCAGATTCCAGAGCTTGACAACAATGCAGATTTCGTATGCTCTCAAGCCCTTTCAGAATCTCGGGTAACAATCATCCTCGCACATCCTTTTGGGCAACCACTAGAGGCAACCGAATACATGAACAGAAACAAATTTGATTTAAACCCACATAAACTGAAAAAATAATCAAAAAACATCTAAGCATATATGTGTATGTCTGGAGGAGATTCCACAGAGTTTTCTTACATGTTAATTATGATTTGGTCGCCCAAGAAAGAGATCTTGCAATTATGTATGGAGATAATTGGCTGCCATCATCAATTCCAGAACCAATTCAGGTTCAATATGAAACTCCGTCTGCTTCCCGCTGTCAAAAAGAGTTGAATTACAAGTCAGTAATAGGGAAACGAGAGTAAATGAAAACTGGCCTTCTGATCAAGTTCTCGGATTTTGATTAGTTCCAACAAGCAACCATGGATAATTCAAGCTTCCATCAATATCTTGAAAAGAATCCCACACTAAAAATTTGGGCAACAGAAAATACGCAAACTATTATGATTGTAACCTCTCCAAGATCATTATTAAACAAGAAAAACCATTCAATCAAAACCTGTAAACCTAATACCACATAGAAAAGTATATGGACCTAGAAAGTGTACTTCTTATAACGCTTTTGTCCTCTGTTTTGGGCTTTGTATATTCCCTGAGTTATGTCCTAAGACCTCCATATTTGGTTTAATATCTATCCAGTATTAGAAATAAGAAATCAAGTTATAAGAACGATAATCTGAAAAATAATCTAAACTATCCAATACTATGGTAGACTGCTCCGTATTATGCTAGACTGACTACCAACCAAAAATGTAACAGTATACAAACTGTCTAGCAACCTAGTCTGCTATAGAACAGACGATGTCAAAGTATTAATCTTTAACCAATGATTGGGCGGTTGATCGAAAAACGATTGATTGGGTGAACGGATCTTTGTTCGAATGTATGGTCTGCAATGACAGCCTAGCAATAAGAAAGTCTAAAGAACATTATCCCCACTAACTTTACACATTGATCGATATAAATTCCAATTCAGAAGAAACCCATCAATCTTCTAAGCATTGACATGTAAAAACCTCAAATATTACAACCAAAAGATTACAAATTTAAAACTAAAATAAGTAAAAATAAAAAATAAAATAAAAAACTGATAGAGACAGAGTCTAAACCTTGCAAATTGAAGGTTCCAGTAAAAGTACTTGCAGATCTTCTCAAGAATGGTGGTGCTGATCTCCGGGAACGTCACCTCGCCGTGCTCCGTCTCAGCAAAACCCCCTACCAACAAAAAAAAAGATTTCACCTTGCAATTTGAAACCCTAATCCCCAAATTGCTTCTCTAACTCAAATCAATTTCAAACCCTAATCCCCAAATTGCTGCACTCACTGAAATCAATTTCAAACCCTAATACCTGGAGAAGTGAGCATGTTGCGGATGGTCTGAGAGACCATGGCGGCGTCTTTATGGATCACGAACTCAAACCCCTCGGCGCTGATCAGCTTCACTGTGTCTTCCTTCTTCATCTTTGCGGTAGAAGCCGATTGAGATTCGACTGAATTGTACGGAAGGGAACCGCGTTATGAACTCAGTGAGTCAGTGCGTTTAGGAGGAAGAAAGTCGTGTATTTATATGATAGAGATGGATTCTGGTCGCGGCTAGCACCGTAGGAATCGGTTTCTATTAGCAACTTAGATAATTACAAAATCTCTCCCTCCATTTTATTGGTTGTTCCACTTTGATCCTCAATTTGTTTTTAGATAAAGTACAAAAAACTACATTAACTATTGGTATTCCGACACTTCATACCTCATCTTTTAAAATTGATAATGTCATACCTCATCTTACGAATTTGTGCCAATGTTATACATTCCGTTAGCTTGGCGTGAATTTCTCAATTAAATGCTGACGTGGCATGATTCAGGGCCCACTTTCTATTAAAAAAAAATTAATAAAATACTATTAAAACTAAAAAAAATTAGTTAATATTTTTTAAATATTAAAATAATAAAAAAAAGTTAAAAAAAAAAAAAGGGAAAACGAAACAACTCTTTCCCTCCCTCCATCCCTCCCCTTGCAAAACTCCAACCCAGAAAACAAATGAAGAAGAAGAAGAAGAAGAAGAAGAAAAAAAACAAACAAACCTTCATCCCTTCCCCACCCCCCCCCCCCCCCAAAAAAAATCCTTCTTTCTTCTCCCCCATCCCCCCCTGCTGCAAGCCTGCAACCCAGAAAACAAAAGAAGAAGAAGAAGAAAAAAAAAAAAAAAAAAAAAAAAGCTCTTTATCCCTTCCCACCCTCCCCCCCACCCCGCATCCTTCTTTCTTCTCCCCCATCCCCCCCACCCCCTCTTCTCCCCCACCCGAGCCCTTACCTGCAACCCAAAAATAAAATTCTCAGTTCGTCTTCCCCTCGCATCCACCCTCCGCACCCATCCTTACACCCACCCAACCTCGCACCCACCCCTCGTGGAATCGGCGAACGGGATCTAGGTTTTTTTTTCCTTCTTCTTCTTCTTCTTCTTCTTCTTCTTCCTCCTTCTTTTGCTTTCTGGTTTGGCAGGGTGTTGGATTTGTTTTTTTTGGGGTTGGGGGGGGGGACGAACTGGGTTTGTTTTTTTTTGGGGAGAGGGACGAACTGGGTTGGGTTTTTTTTTTTCCTTCTTCTTCTTCTTCTTCTTCTTCTTCTTCTTCGGGGGGGGGGGGGGGTTGGGGCAAATTTTTATTTTTTTTTGGTTGAATCACGCAGGGAAGAAGAAGATGGGGAGAGAGAGAAGGGGGGAGGGGGGGTGGATGGGAAGGTTTTGATTTTTTTTTGTTTCAACTTTTTATTATTATTTTAATATTTAAAAATATTAAATGATTTTTTATTTTTTTAATAGGTATGAAAGTGTCATGACACCAATAATTGAGGTAGTTTTTTGTACTTTACCCTTTGTTTTTTCTGTCTCAGGTTGGTTACTAAACTTTTAAAAATACAATAAGTGATAAACAATAGTAACTCTCAATTACAAAAGTTGACAAAACAAATACTAGTGAATACAATTCAATTTGAGGGCCATTTGGTTCAAACAAACCATGGTGCCAAATATGTCAGCAAACACGTGTTTTGTATCGACACTAAGTGAAATTATTATGTAATGCAGTGTAAAAACTCAATTTGGTGTAAGTAGAACCACTTAATATAAGTTGTATTTAATTTTTCAAAGCAGAAGTTTTGTACCCTTGCAACTAATTCCAAATAAGCCAGTAATGAGGTTGTAATTTGGTTCATTTAAACAAATAACTTGAGCTTAAGATGAATAAATCTGAATCACGATGTTACAAATAAAAATGTGCAATTTGAAGCCTAATCGAACAAAACCGAACATCAATCAACCCTAATTCATGCTTCGACGTTGATAATAATCGTCGTCAACGTTATTACAAAAAAAAGTAAATTACCAACAACTAGTATAAGCCGCTCACGCATAATTTCCTACACGTTTAAAAATAATCAGCCGTCCATAGCTCTGGCGACTGTCCAAACCGCAGCCAAATCTAAATTAATTAATTACGGCGTGGGAAAACACTACAAAATTTTTAAATTTAAAAAAATAAAAACATCCCTCTGGCACCAACCATCTAGGCCAGGCTGCCTACTGTCTCACTCTCTCTCCCAATTCATCGAATCAAAGATCCCCAGTTGTCGCCAAAAAACGGCACCGTTTCGACCACCAAACAAAGAATCTATTTATTTGCCGTTTCAACTTTCAAAAGCCCTCTCTCTTTCGTCATCGTTGCCTCCCTTTGTTCCCATTTTCTCCTTCCCCAAAACTCCCCACAGTGCTCTCCGCCCCAATTCCTTCGGTTCCTCCGATCGAACACTCCGATCGCGTTCTCTCCTCTGTCGATTCGCCTCCGGGTAAGCGAGATCTAGAGATACAACTGTTTGTGTATGTATAGGTTGCAGAGAAAGAGAGATTTGTGTGTATGTGTGTGATTTTTGATGGGTTTGAATTTTTGTGTGTATGTGTAGGTTGTGGAGATCGGAGAGGGGAGACGGCGGCATGGCGAGTAGAGTAGACCACGAGTACGACTACCTGTTCAAGATCGTGTTGATCGGTGACTCTGGTGTGGGCAAATCTAACATTCTCTCTAGGTTTACCAGGAATGAGTTCTGCTTGGACTCCAAATCCACCATCGGAGTCGAGTTCGCCACCCGAACTCTCCAGGCAAGTTCGCCTACTGAGCTTTGTTCTTCGTTTTTAGAAGTTTGATTAGTCTGTTTGGTATTTAATCTTGGTGTGAAAGTTGATTTGTGCTTCAATTGTTTGATTTTGTCAGCGTTGTCGATATATTTGTTTGTGATAGATTCGATGTTATGTGGTTAATTTTTGGGAGGTTTCGGAGTTTGAATTATTTTGGTTGAAGTTTTGTTTGGGTGGCTTGGAGATTGTGATTATTGTTTGGATTTTGTTTAGGGATTTACTGTGTTTGATTGGTGTCCATCAGAAAATTTGTTATTAATAACTTGGTGAAACGGGTTTGGATTGGCTTTTTAGTGCTGTGTTTTTAGATGGATTGCTTCTTGTGGATACGGTTGCCAATGGTTAAATAAACCAGTGGGATAAACACCCGTCTTTTTGTTTGATAGAAGCCGGGATTTACTTTACATTAAAGCTGTCCGGTTGAATTTTATGGACTAGGATTCTCTCCTCTCCTCCTTCCATCCCCTTCCATCCCCTCCTCTCACATTCTCTATTTTGTCTTTCTCTTTTTATAAAAAGTTAATATAAGATATTGACGTGGCTTAACCATGACCGTTCAAATAGGAGGGGAGGGAAGGGGAGGGAAAAACAGCGGGGAAAGAATCCTACTCCGAATTTTATTTCCAGGAGTTTAACCATTTGAGCATTTACCTGTTGTTGATCTTTAAGTTTGTTTAACACACTATGGATGATTTGCAAAGAGGAGTTGATTTATGAGCACTTACAGGTGGATGCCTAAGTTTGATTCTTAATTAGAGCCAATTTTGTATAATGTTGTGGAAGTATATGCGGAAACTCGTGTCTCGGTTTCTCTATCCTTTGTATTTAGCGCATAATAAACGAGTATGATACGCTAAATAACTGCCCAATATCTTTCATTTGAAAGACTGTTGGTTCGTTAGGTTTGTTTTGTGGGTCATACTGCCTTTTGTTGGATTTTTTATATATAGGCAACTATATGAATATGACATAGTTGAAGAGAGAACTAGAATTTCTTCCCCTGTTGTACATGCAAGTGAGAATTGAAACATCATGGCTCAATTGAATGTGAAGTTACTCTATAAACATGAAATGTGTCTACTGGACCACTGGTCCCAGAGCATATTTATGAGTTTCTAACATACATGTAGCGTACCGTTCAATATGTTGATGAGTAGGAAGAAGTCTGTTTATACAACAATTGGGCTTGCGAATTATGGCTTACAATCTGATCTAGCTTAAACTCTTCCGTGTCTGAAATTTACAGGTTGAGGGAAAGACTGTGAAGGCACAGATCTGGGATACAGCAGGCCAGGAGCGATACCGTGCTATAACCAGTGCATACTATAGAGGGGCAGTGGGTGCTCTCCTTGTCTATGACATAACCAAGCGGCCAACTTTTGAGAATGTCCAAAGGTGGCTCCGTGAGTTGAGGGACCATGCAGATTCGAACATTGTTATCATGATGACTGGAAACAAGTCTGACTTGATCAATCTCCGAGCTGTTTCAGAGGATGATGGTCAGTCCTTGGCTGAGAGGGAAGGTCTCTCATTTCTCGAGACATCAGCACTGGAAGCAACCAACGTTGAGAAGGCATTTCAAACTATTCTAACCGAGATCTACCATATTGTCAGCAAAAAAGCACTGGCAGCTCAAGAAGCAGTCTCAACTACCCTACCTGGTCAAGGAACCACCATCGACGTTAGTGATGCTTCTGGGAATACAAACAAGAGAGGTTGCTGCTCGACATAAAAGATGACACACGTAGGGGGAAGGAGGGGAAATATTTTGCTGGATGCCAGCTCTTTTGATTTTTCTCTTTTTAGTTTCTTTTTTCTGGTGACAGGGAAGCATGTAGAATACAGTTTTACTTCGACGATTTGTGGTAAGGAAGCTTTGTGAAAATTATAATGACAGTAGTATCGGTACATTTTGAGGGCCTGCTTTTACATCCGATGCACCATTTTGTTATATGTTGCTTTTTATAAGGTGTAACTACTGAAATTTGGAATGTCTGGTGGAACTCGGCATCTCAAATTAAAGAATCAATGGAGAAGGAACCTTGTGTGTTCAAAGTTTTAATCCTTCGGGTTTCGTTTCTCAGTTGCTTCTTCCATTCTAACAAACGCTTCAATACCGCTTTGTCATATCATTCGAGACTATTTCTTCAGCCTTTTTCTTTCTGCTGCCTTCGCTCTTGCGATCGATTGCTTGTGGCATACAATGGTGGTGGCAGTTTCATGGCGAATCGAGAAGGACTAGGGTTTTTGAATTCTTTGGGACATCCGGACGTGTACATTTCAATTGCTTGCCCAAGAAGTCAACATAATTGGTGGTAAACTTTAAAGGGGAAATGGTGGGATTTGATAACAAAATGATAGTTGAATCTGGCAATCTGCAGTCTGCTATTCAATCTGTATAGTTACATGATGTATTCTGCAAGTACTTTCACAGTAATCCCTAATCTCGTCAATTATCTTACTAGAACTTACTGCAGGCTCAGCCGTTACATGGCAAGACAAAACTGTTTTTCCTACCGTTAGCGCCCAAACGTGTAGGTCGTGAATATCCTGAACCCCCTTGATGCACTTAATGCCTTTTTCTAGCCCGATGATATCAATCTCGCTTGGCGTTCTCTCCATCAATATGCCATATATATTTTTGAGCATCGATACAGTTGTGCTAACAGCAAAAACAGAAAATATGAGTGTGCAGATAAGATCAACTACTAACCAATCTGGCCTTGCCCATATGATGCCTCCAGCAATCATCACCCCAACGGACTGAATCATATCGGCGATGACATGCAAGTAAGCTCCTTGGATATTTATGTTTAATATTTTAGTCTTCTCCACAGAATTTGACACCAGACTTGTTTTGTCCTCTTCAAGTATTGCACTTTCTTCCTCCTTATGATGATCGTGATTATGACCATGGTTATGATCGTGACTATGACCATGATGATGATGATGATCGTGATTATGACCATGATGATGATCGTGATTGTGATCATGGAGATGATCTTGACCTAAGCCTCCACATGCGTGATGGGTGTGATCGTGACCAAGCCACACGACCATGATAAGGTTGACAAGAAACCCAAATGCTGCGACTGAAAACATGAGTAGCCCATTCACCTTTTCCTTGTTGTGAAGGATCCTGTCGACTGCTTCATAGATCAAGATCCCAGAGACCAGCCATACGAGCTGCACAGAGAAAAGGGCACTCAAAACCTCAAGACGGTGATATCCGAAAGACTGGTACGATGTTGCCTCCCAACCTGAAGCCATTACTGTGAAAAGAGCAATGGAGAATCCAATAACATCAGTAAGCAAGTGGGCTGCATCTGTGAGTACTGCTAGGCTGTTGGCTTTGACACCACCAATAATTTCAACAACCATAAACAAGAGAGAGGCGACAACGAGTCCAGAGAGTTTTGTAGCAGACTTTGACCGCTGTTTTGAATCCAAACTACAATGCTCGTTTTTGGAGAAAACACAGACACACAAGGAGGGACGCAACTGCGGTGGCAGAGGAAGAGTATCAATGCCTTTAGAGACCATTGCGATCTCAATTTCCTGAGACTCTGTTCTCGTAAAGGGTACCTTCTCATGTTCCATCTGCTTCAGAAAAGTGATGGTGTTAATTTCTTAAAAAAGAAGAGCAAGTGAAGCACCTCAGTTTTATAGCCAAATCGCGGCCTAATTCCGTATATTAAGCAAGGTCGGAATATAAAGTGAGGAAAGGCAGGTTGCTGCACAGCAAAACAGCGCAGCTGTGCAAGCGAGCACACAGAAAACCGAGCTATCACACAGCTGCTACTCAGAACCAAGTCATATTCCAGCTCAAGGACCAAATCAGCAGAAAGCTGTTTGGCATTGGGCAACTATAACTCATGCAACAACTTTAATGTTGATCAAGCTTTAGCTAAATTCTGTGAGAATAGTTACTAGTACGGATTTGTTAAGCTTAGATGGAAATTCTCGTGGTTCGGTCAACTTGGTTTCACTGCGTGTGCAACCATGTGTGTACGACTGTTACACATTTAGTTATTGAATGAACGAAGAACATTATCGTTCCATTCTTCGTAGGAAATGAAAAATCTTGGATTTTCATCAAGAGCCACCTTAAATGGTAATACTTATTTTTTTTTTTTTCCCTACAAGCTCATGCCTCTATGTGCTGCATCAAGAACCCGAAAACTCGAAATCTGGGTAGCTTTCTGATTCGAAAGAATCAATCATAAAATCACAGTTCAACGCCAAGCATCCAACTTTGCAACAGACCCATATATAAACTAACAGACCCAAATTATCAAATTCCATAAACTACCATTAAACCAATACAACCATATAATAAAAATCAATACAAAGATTAAAAAAACAACTTGAAAACGCAAACCAAAGAATCCAAAAACCCAAAAACAAAACGGAGGAAGAGAGCTCAATTGGGAACGATGGAGGAGTACCTGAGAATCTGAGGAGAGACAAGTAGAGATTTTGATGGGGGATTTCACTTAATGGATTCGGATCCATAACCATGGGTTCCAATGTACGAGAGCTCGTAGCACTTACTAATGAGACCCTATCAATTAGTATTACAGAGAAGAAATCAATTATAGACACTAATATAATTAAATCTACTTTTCATAGACAAACTTCGGATTTGCGATCCCTAAGTTCTCTCTCTCAAGGGATGAAATCAATAGGAAGAGAAATGATTAGGGTTTTTGCATACATGGATACTCGCTCGTCATTTGTGATCCAAGTCCCACACGTTCTCTCATCTCTCATCAATCCGTGGGGCAACGGCATTCAGCTTTGACGTTAACGATCATTTATTAATTCTTTTGACAGCCATTTAGGCCCATTTGGAGGACTGAATAACATTGGATCTTAAGATATGATTTTTTGTTTTTAGCCCACTTAGGAATATTATTTGATTAAAAAAAACTTATAAGATATGACTTGTAACCTATGCAAAAGGATACATTAGATAATTCACTCTACTGTGGATCCATAATCCATCATGTTAAGTCATATTCATCTCACATTGTTGACACAACAAACAAGGGCCTGGACTGAATTCAAATCTTTTTTAATTGATCACAATCTATCTCATCCAACCTTCCAAATGGAGTTGTAGAGTTAGTTCGGCCAATTATTGTTATTCTCCAAATTTTTGTGAACATATTTTTTTTATTTGTCTGTGTATTTTAAGTATATAGCTTATGACTTAACAATCTTAATTTTAATTAACTTTTTATAAAACATATTTATAAAATAATTTATAAAATAAACAATTTCATTTATAAATACGAAAATTTTGTGAATAAGCTACAAAGTACTTTAATTCCTCCTCAATCCTTGAGGAGTCAAGTAACGGAAATAACGGAATGGGCTTAGGCCCGGCCCGCAAACCGTGAAACTCTTCAAAAGTTTTGAAACAATTGTCTCTTTCATTTGGGCCTACAGACCGTTAGAAACGTTTTCTCCACAGCCAGCCACCGCCTTCTCTCTGTGTACCGGATCGAAACCATCACCGAGAGAAACCGCCGTGCAGAGGCTGCAGCGAGAGCGACCGAGACGGAAACGACCGTCCTTACCTCGCCTTCGCTCCACCGCCATGGACTCCCGCCACGCAACTCTCGGCCGACGAACGGTACGGATCTCATCGCCATCGTCTATTTTCCTTTTCTCATTGAAGATTTGCATTTGAAAATACGTAATTCTCCTTCAATTTTGTTCATTTTATTTGAATTTTTATCAGTTGGAAGAAATTCGCCAAAAGCGAGCCGCAGAAAAGTTGAGCAAAACTTCGTCGGGACCCGATCTCAGCAAAATCTCGATTCCAATCGGTTCGCAATTTTTTTTTTTTTTTTTTTTGTTAAATTAATAGTGTTGTATTTTCGCTGAAGTTTTTGATTGCGCAGATAATGGAGGAATGCGAAAATCGGAGAGCGCGAATCGGCTCTCTGAGGTAGGAGCTGATTTCTGCAATTATTATCTGTTGAGAAAAGAAAATTTTCGGGATTTTGTTTTTCGATTTTTATGTTTGGTTGCTGAGAAAGTTTCATTTTTAATTCCCATGTATATGTGATTGCTGGTGCAGAGCGACGTTAGTGTTTTGGTTGCCCAGATAAAAGACTTAGAGAAGAAAAATGCGGAATTGGAGGAGCAAAACAAAAGCTTGGCTTCCTTGGTAAGACTATTGTTTCTGGGGTTTGCTTGTTTGATTCTTAGTTTCCATTTTGCGAGGGTATTGGTTTTCGTTCACGATCAATTTTTTGATGTGCAATTATTTTGCCCTCTTGATATTTCAGCTTGAAACAAAGGAAGCCGGGGGCGATGTGCTGCAGAAACGTTTGAATGATCTGGTAAATGTAACACCTTTAAATATCATTACATTTTTTGCCAGTAAAGAGTATGTCTTTTTATGCATTAATGTATTCTCAACTCTATCTATCCGTAGTTTATGCCTTGTCTTCGTTTCATGGTCCGTAGAAACATGAATGTGCAGCTATAGGAAAGAAAAAAGGGCATTCCTTGTTAACTTTTTCAGCCTATTCTCATCTAATACTTTGTGTAAATTGCAGGAGAAAAACACTGTACCGTCTTTGAGAAAAGCTCTCAAGGATGTTGCAATGGAGAAAGATGCGGCAGTTGTTGCACGGGTACTGACCATCTATATTTTAGTTGGTGTTTCATCTCACTTGGTTCATTCTGTTTTGTTTCACTCTCACAATTTGATTTCTTAATGTAGGAGGATCTTTCAGCCCAGCTTCGTACACTCAAGAAACGGTTAAAGGATGCAGAAGAAGAACAATATCGAGTATGCAATTAGTTTCTCTATTAAATCCCTTTGGAACGGTATCTTTCTATGCTTTTCTCACTTGTTGTCTTGCAACAGGCTGAGGAAGATGCAGCCGCTTTGAGAGCTGAACTGAATATGTTACAGCAACAAGCAATGAGTGGTTCACTTAGTGCAATGAACTCAACTTCTAATTCACCAGATCAAATACAAATGTTAGAAAAGGAGCTGGCTAGCTTAAAATCTGCGTTACAGGTGATAATTTGTTTGTTGGAATATTTGTAGTTTCCCAATTTCCCAACTGGTGTATTGTCTATAGGTGTCCAACAGTGGTAAATTTCTTGTAGCAAGAGTCACACTTGAGGCAGCAAGAGAGACAACAATTAGCAGAGGAGCAAGCCCGGGCATCCACCCTTACATCTGTAAAGCAGGAATTGGAGGAAAAGCTTGCAGCTATGTCTAGAAAGGCTTCAGGTACCAAAACCATCCAAATGTACATTTCTACACCATAAAGAATTTCAGAAAATCTCCTTTCAGATGTTCAAGTTATAAAATGGAGAGGACTTTAGGAAGCCTCCTCTAAATCTTGGGGGCCGCACAGTCTGATGTGAAAGAGACTAAGGAACAAATGTACATAAACATTGTTGGTCTAGAAAAGTCAAACAAATTGACCGTTATTGGCCTGAATTTTTCCTCTTAGTAGTTTTTTCTTCTTCTTGTTTGCATATTCAGCACTATATTCATACTTACTCTTTATCTAATTTAAGATTTATAAATGGAAATCCATGGCGGCTCATGGGTTCAGTGTAGTTGGAGTCGCAACTGGAAACCCTTTTGGCTTCTCAGTTCTAAATTTCAAGTAAAATTGTTTAGTCTTGAATACCATCTATGGTGTTATGATTCCCCATATCCCGTTTACGCTTCTGTCAATTTTGTTGTTCTATTGGCCTTCCATGATTTTTTTGCTGCATAGTGGCATTTTACAAAAAAGTTGGATCTTATGAATGTTGTTATTGCCCGTGGTTCATGCACTGCAGAAGTCTCAGAGAAAGTGGCTGGCAAGGAATTTTCACTCGTAAGTCCATTTCGTGATGACCTAGAAATTTTACAGTTGTCAGGTCAGTGATTATATGCCAAAGAAAACAGGGAGGAAAACAAGGAGGCGAGAATTTAATGAGTTCCTCTCAGGAGACGCTGTACTATTACCATAATATGAGTGTCCTCTCTTCTCTTCCCGTTGTTCCTTAATAAATGATTAAATTTACGGGTCAATGCATTAATGAACAGGAAGACAAGGAGAAACTTGAGAAGCAGTTGCATGACATGGCGGTAGTGATTGAGAGATTGGAAAGTAGTAGACAAAAACTTTTGATAGAGGTTATCCTTGCAACAGTTTTCTCTTTTATAATTCCAAATAGGAACCCGTTTTATTTTTGGTGGTATATTTGTCTTTTGGCAGAAAACTCACTTTTTGTACTTGGTGGCAGATTGATTCCCAATCTTCAGAGATAGAAAGGCTTTTCGAGGAAAATTCTGATCTCTCGAATTCTTATCAGCAAGCGATGAGCATATCAGGGCACTGGGAGAATCAGGTAATTGTAAATGGCTTAGCTAATAACAGAGATTGACAGAATGTCGGCTATATGTAAAATTATCCGGTATTATTTTTTCTAATAATATGTCTTGCTTTGGTTTCTCATTAAACAATTGCCAACTGGATATGGAGAACTTACCATTTACTATGCTTGACTAGTGAATCTAGCTAATCTGGTTCATGTTTGCAGCTTTTGTATTTTTGTGAAGTGTCTTAATTTTTGGCATGTGAATGTGCAGGTGAAAGACTGTCTTAAGCATAATGAAGAGCTCCGTGCAACTATAGATAAGTTGAGAACCAACCAGTCCAAGGGGTTGCTAGAATCCCATGAAGGCGGGCCCAATGAGACTGGTTCAGCTGCGTATGCAACCGAAGTTCTCTCCATCAAGGTTAGTCAGCTAGCAGAAAGAAGTTTTATTCTTTCCTTTTTTTTATATGAAAAAAAAAAAACTATATTTGAACTTTCCATGGTGCATTGAATAAGGATTCAGGATGGGGGTTATTTAGCCTTCATTAATTGGCATCATTTTTTTGAGTTTCGTCCATGCTTTTATTTGTAGGATCAACTTGCGAAAGAACAGAGCAGAGCAGAGGCGTTGTCAGCTGAAGTATTGCAGCTTTCCGCACGACTCCAACAAGCTACCCAAGCATACAATGGGCTTGCACGCCTGTAAGCTCCCTCTCCCTTTTTTTCCCCCTCCGTTTTCTTCTTATAAGTTTCGTGCTAACATGAATTTCATCCGACGAGTTGCAGCTATAAACCAGTGTTACGAAACATTGAAAACAATCTCATCAAGATGAAACAAGATGGCCCCATGACCGTGCGGTGAATGCAAAGGCAAATCAGCTCAACCCCCTTCATGCTAAAATTGGTTAAAGTAGCACAGTTTTCTTTGTGAAGTTTCTGAGACCCATTTGCTCGGCATTCTTCACGTATCAAAATGTTCACTAGGTAAAGAAACAAAAGTGTCTAGTCTTGTTTGGAAACAGAGAACCTCGGAATGCTCGAATTACGAACATAAGAATGGTAAATTCATACTTCTACTCATCATTTGTACTCGGATTTGGAGCCTTGCATCATATAAGTTCTCATATTGTAGGATGGAAACGTGACTCATGTGAGTAATGCTACACTTATCACATTTGTACTGCCTCTCTAATTTGTGTGATGTATTAAGTCCCGGTTTCACGTATTCTACTCCAGTAGTAGTAAGACCATTATACCCCTCATGTCTGAAGGCAATAATTCTAATCCCCTTGGCCTCAAGCACAAAGGAATACAGTATACAACATGAGATTTAGCGCTTTCGGTTCGATCCTGTAACTTCATTTTCCTTATTTTTCACTACGAAATGAAAGGACGAAAGTTGAACTCTTGTTGTGCTTGTTGCTTAATTAGATGATAAGATGTGTGCCACTGCCAACCACCAGTCCGTTAGGTGACGAAAGGGTCGAAGACGGAGACGTATTCGTTTTCTTGTGCTATGAGCAAGTGATTAACAGCATAATTTTAAAAATAACCACCTAAGCTATCATGTGCATTTGCTACTAGCTAGTCTTTGCTACAGTTGGAAATGTAGCTAGATTTATGTGTTTATGTTTCGGCCCAAAATAATATTGTTGGGCCGAGCAGCAGGTTGTGCTCGGCCCAAAGGTGTGTCAAGTGCTATAGGCCGAGTAAATAAGTCTCGGGCCAGTTGGTAGGGTCAGTCGAGTGCAATCCAAAGGAGTAGTCCAGATAAACATAAAAGGGTCGAGGAAGTCCTGGAGCGACCAGGATTCCCGGCCGGCAAAGAATAAAGCCTTGAAAAAGGGAAAGTTCAAAGCCTAGTGGGAGTAGGTTTGTTCGAGGTAGAGTTGAAACGGGACAAGGACTCCCAATCCAGATAAGGATGCAATTCAAGGGATGAGGTGCTATAAATACAAGAAATCATGCAACGAGAAAGGACCTTCAATTCAGCATACAATTGCCCTGCGCAAAACCTATCAAATACCTTGAGATTTTCCCTTTTCTCTTTTTGCCGAAACACCTTCAGTTTGGATAAACGGCACTGTGGAGGCACCCGGCGAGCACCTTTAGTTTGGATAAACAGCACTGCTGCCGCAGAATCAGTCGACCGAGAAGCACCTTCAGTTTGGATAAACAGCACTGCGTCGAAGCCGGCCGATTACCTATCTAAGTCTTGGCCGAGGAGGGTTCGAAAACCCTTGTTGGTAGAGGTCACATTGCTAGCCTTCTCGGCATAGTCAGGTGTTACGAATTGTCTTACTCGGCGTACTGGACGCCGAGTGCTTTTATGATTGGATACTCGCAAGTAAGTTTCAGGGTTCGGCATTCCGACGGCCGAACTACATTTACCATCAAGACATACATCACATTTGAGTACCTGTGCCCATATAGTTTGGTCTCGATTCGACGTGCTTATACTCTCACGAATATAATCACAGTGACCGAATCGAGCTCCGACGATTCGTGAACTCCGCAGAATTAGTAGTCTTGTCTTCAGACTATAGAACCCAGAGACCGAGAGTGTTCCTTCCTCGGTCGCAATCGCAAGATAAAGAAGTCACCGACGCGCTCAACGCGACATCAACAAACTTTACTCCTCGGCCAAGCTCGGCCGACGAGTTGGCACCCCCCCCCGCATTCAACCGAAGGACGTAGTTAGCTTATTAGTTACTCGGCCTGCGCGCCACGTAGGTTTTGTAATTTTTAGAGTCAACAGTTTAATATTAAAACTTGTCATTGACTTGGGTGGTATATCACAGAAACGGTTGTATTAAAATGTAGACCAACACATATCAATGCTTAATAGTAGGTATAGAGAAAAAGGTAAGTGGGGAGCAAACTAGTAAAATAATGAGGATCGAAAAACCTGCAAGACTTTCGATTTCTAGCGCTGGTGAATTACACGATGCTAGCCGGGGAGGTTAAAATGTCTCTTTGAGTCTTCCTGATCTCTGTAGGGTGTACTGCTGTGGCAAAGCCACTAGTTGGTCCTCTTTCTTGAAAAAAAAAAAAAAAAAAAAAAAAAAAAAAAAAAAAAAAAAGAGATCCTACAAGACTTTCGATTTTAATCGCTATTATATGTGCAAGTGTGGTAGCTACATCTATTTTTCATATTAAGTTGAGGACTAATGTACATGATGTTTAAAATAAAATGCCACAATCCACGCCATTGTATGTGCAAGTGTGGTAGCTACATCTATTTTTTATATTATGTTGAGGACTAATGTACGTGATGTTTAAAATAAAATGCCACAATTAAGGAACAAACCACATGGGTACGAATTTACTACTAAAACTTGTATAAATTTTTAGTACCACCAACGGCTAAGCTGTTAAATCAAGTACTAGTGGTTGTTGTCGAGAAATTTTGAGAGGGAATACCGTCAAGTGATGTACATCACGTGTTATAATATGAGTAGACGAGATAGTCAATACATGTATGTTATGACATATGATATGGTGTTATATTGTGAATGAATTGTAATACCATGCAATATATGTTATTTCAGTGTTCTCTTCCCCCTATAGTTCTCTCATTTCTTACCACATCTTACGCATTAAATTTCATTCATAAACTACAAAAATGGTGGAAATTAGAATTATTCCAGAAAGTGTGGGAAACCTATGGAACAAATGGAACCTTCGACTCCTGGTCCTCTGCAGCCTATGCTTACAAACTGTCCTAGTGGTGTTTGGAAGCCGTAGAAAATACAGTGCTAAAACCTGGATCAGAATCGTCATTTGGACAGCGTACTTATCAGCGGATTGGGTTGCTACTGTCGCGCTTGGAATGATATCCAGCTTCCAAGTAGATGATCATGAAAGCTCCCCACATCCAAACAGCCATACCATTATGGCTTTCTGGGCGCCATTTCTTCTCGTGCACCTTGGTGGTCCAGACACCATCACTGCTTACGCGTTGGAGGACAATGAGCTTTGGTTGAGGCACCTGCTGGGTTTAGTTGTCCAGGTTGAAGTGGCTTTTTTCATCTTTTTAAGATACTGGACGCCGAGCACGTACCCCCTCTCACTGCTAGCAATACCAGTATTTGTTGCTGGACTTAACAAATATGGAGAGCGGACTTGGGCCCTGCGGTCTGCAAGCAGTGGAAGATTGCGTGACTCCTTGCTCCCTGCTCCGAATCCAGGTCGTGGTTATGCCGATTATGCAGCTGAATATAGCGCTACAAAAGCTCGAGGAGATGAGGTTGCAATTGGAAGTACAGGTGGGGAAGGTATTTTTCGTGTTGGGCGGATCAATCCTGTGATTTCCGAAGCCAGATATCTCCACGAAGCATTTGAATTGTTCGACCTCTTTAAGCGCCTTTACGCAGATCTCATCCTGGACTACAATGATCGCAATTGCTGCAGTGAAATGCTTCAGGGTCATTCACCGAAAGAAGTCCTCAAAGTAATAGAGGTTGAGCTTGGTTTTGTTTATGATGTGTTATACACAAAGGCAACTGTTGTGTATTCTCGCCCGGGTATCATTTTTCGCTTCATCAACCTTCTTTGCTCCATTTCCACACTTGTAGTCTTTGCCCTTGTTATTGATAAGCATTTTTATTCCACAGTTGATATAACTCTCACCTACTTATTGTCTGCCGGAGCCATTGCTCTTGAGTTGTACGCCATCATTGTACTAATTTGTACAGATTGGACACTCTATTGGTTAAGCAAGCAGACGCACTCGCTTGCTTCTCGTGTCTATCAAGCAATCTCTTCCTTTAGATCAAGCTTGGGCTACGACAAAAATTGGTCTGAATCCGTGGCACAATACAATCTCATCGATTTTTGTTTCAAAGAGAATCCCCCCAAGTGTGCCAGAATTCTCAAACTCGTTCACATCTATGGCCTGTTAGAGAAATATTGGTACACAGCCAAGGAGGATGTCCCTACTGAGATGAGAGAGCTTATTGTTGCGCAACTCCAAGATGCTCAAAGAGAAAATGTTGCAACCAGTGAAGTCTTGGATTGGAGAGGCACTCATGCTCTTCAAAAGAGTAACTGTATAGAAAAGTTTGGTTGGAGTGTGGAAGAAGCTTCATTAGACCAAAGCATTCTTCTATGGCACATTGCAACAGATTTATGCTTCAACAATGATCTTGAAAATAAAAATCAAGAACCATCTCTAATTAGTTCCAAATCCAAGGTGAGCAAGTTGTTCTCAAATTATATGATGCACAATCTCGTCTTCAGCCCCTTCATGTTGCCAGAGGGAATTGGGCAGATTAGATTTCGTGACACGTGCGCAGAGGCCGCAGAGTTTTTTGAAAAGAGAAGAGAAGTCATAACCAAAGGGGCAGGCCATGCCAGGCAGGTTATGCTTGAGGTGAACACGGAGTTAGTTCCGGCAATGGTGATTGGTGAGAGAAGCAAGACAGTGTTGTTTGATGGGTCTAGGCTTGCAAAACAGTTGATGGCATTGGAAACTGAGGAGGGAAAGAGTAATGAAGAAAAATGGGGGATAATAAGCCAAGTGTGGATAGAGATGTTGTGTTACGCAGCGAGTCATTGCAGTTGGAAGGAGCACGCGCAACAGCTTAGGCATGGAGGAGAGCTTCTTACACATGTGTGCCTTCTCATGGCAAATCTTGGTTTCAGTCAACAGTTTCAGATCAAACAAGGCACACCAACAATAACTCTTTCTGCTATTAGCAAGCAACCCTAGCTTCTGCTTGAAAACTTCTCCTCAAGTTCCGGTAAAAATAAAAATATAAATGAAGTGTAAAAAATTTAAGAGAAATTGACCAAATGATCAATTTTCAAATTTTAATAGCAGAAATGATCAGTTTTTCAATATGTCGTTGATTTATAATATTTATATATGTTGTCAAGTCGTCAATATTAGTATACATATAAGTAAAGCGCTTAGGCATGAAAAATATGCAAGGCTGTCAATGCATGTGCACTTTCTGCCATGCATCCCTTTATTCTCTTCTCCACGTGCCAGTACACCAAACCCAAGCTTTACTTACAGATATAGGATAGTATGATTAGTTATACTTTCCTGACTACTGAATCTGTTTTGATGAACTTAAGTTACTTAACTATGAATAGTAGGTTTGAATGTGAGATTAATAATTCAAAAGACTTTGAGACAACTTAAAATTTAGAAAGCGAGATCCTGGTCGATGTTTTCAAAGCATTCCTAATGTAGGATGTATAGCTCGTTGTCATTGACTATGTGAACTTCTAATACATCTGACCATTTATTAATCCATTTTTTAACGAGTGATATTAAAGGAGGTAGAAATCGAACTCTGAATATCAGGTGTAAGAGTGAACGACTTTAAGCAATTGAGTTAGGGGTGGTTTGGTATTGCTGTGCTTTGAAAAAAAGCTGCTTCTGCTGTACTGTGAGAATAAGCAGCTGTGAAATAAAGCAGCAGAGCGTTTGATAAACTTTTTTGTAAAAGTGCTTTTGAAAAAAAAAAGCAGTATTATAGTGTTTGGTAAACTTTTATGTAAAACAGATATGAAAAAAAACCAGTTTTTCAAAGCTGGGTTTTGCAGCTTCTTGTTTTTGGCTTTTTTTCACCCAAAACTGTGAAAAAAAGCTGAAGCTGAATGTTTACCAAACACAAAAATAGCTCCCAGCTTTTTTTGATACTAGCTTTTTTCAGAATTACCTCAGTACCAAACCAGGTCTTACAATATTTGTAAACTATTTTGAAAGTACATATCCCTAGCTATGAGGTAAAATTTAGGCATTTATCTAACAATTTTGGGCCTTGTTACACTTTACTTTGTATATTTTGGGATTTCAACAAACAAATTTGGGCCTTATTAGTGGACTATCCGGGCCAGAAATATTATAAAATTTTGATATTAGACACAATCTAGATGATTGCCACAATTTTGTCCTGTGCAATTCGGCCGAGACAAAGCTCAACACAAAAAACACAACTACTGCAACGGCACTTCATGCACAAAAACATCTTCACATTGAGTAACTAATGCACTATAAAACTGGAACATAACGTGACTCATAGCCACACACAAAAACATATTCTAGCACTACTCTTGAATATTAGCAATGGCAGTTCCAATGCTTAAGCTCGTCATCACCCTTTTCTTTCTGCAAGCCCTCCTCACTTCCCATATCCAAGCCGGCCCGGGAAACTCCGATCTCTTTCGCGAATACATAGGAGCCGAATTCAATAACGTCAAGTTTTCGGATGTCCCCATAAACCCTAATGTAGAATTCCACTTCATTCTCGCCTTCGCCATAGACTATGACCCCTCAGGCTCCTCTCCCACCAACGGAAAATTCAATGTCTTTTGGGACTCCGACAACCTCAGCCCTTCCCAAGTTTCCTCCATCAAAAACCAACATTCTAATGTCAAAGTTGCCTTGAGCTTAGGAGGAGATAGTGTCAGTAGTGGCTCTGCCTACTTCAAACCTTCCTCAATTGATTCGTGGGTTTCGAATGCTGTTTCTTCACTCACAAGCATCATCCAGCAGTACAACTTGGACGGAATCGACATTGATTACGAGCACTTTCAAGCAGACCCCGATACATTTTCCGAGTGCATTGGAAGGCTTATAACAACCCTAAAGAACAATGGAGTGATCTCATTTGCATCTATTGCTCCGTTTGACGACGATGAAGTTCAGAGCCACTACTTGGCCTTGTGGAAGAGCTATGGCCATTTGATTGACTATGTCAATTTCCAATTTTATGCCTACGATCAGAGCACCACGGTGTCTCAGTTCATCAACTATTTCAACACTCAGAGCTCCAATTACAATGGCGGACAGGTCTTGGCAAGCTTTATCAGTGATGGGAGTGGCGGATTGTCACCGGAGAACGGGTTTTTTAAAGCCTGCCAGAGGCTCAGGAGTGAGGGAAAACTCGGTGGAATCTTTGTTTGGTCAGCTGATGATTCCAAGAAACTTGGTTTCCGCTACGAAAAGCAATCGGAAGCTCTCTTGGCCAATAATTAGTACTATATATTATGATCTTATGCATTGCCTTGTATACGGGTGTGGTTAAGAAGTAGGCACTGGAATTGGATTCCAGGGTAATATACTTACTTTCATGTGTGCTAGAGTTTTTACATATTTCAGATTGTCTTGTATGATTGTGTAAGAGTGCTACTTTTTATTAAAATTTTCTTATTTTCAACATATGGTTTTCTTGTTTCACACGCTAGCTAGGTACTCTAGCGTTGCCATTGCATAATTCAACTTTCACCATTGATGATCTACCCTCACATCAAATATGGGATTTGAATCCCGTAATACAACGTACATTTTTTATTTTATTCAACAATTATCATGCATGAGATTCAGTAAAACCTAAATGTCATCAAACTAAATGATATTTATTATTGTTCGTCTTTTTATCCTGTGAAACAAATATTAGCAAGCGAAACTAGTAGTTATACTTGGCTGTCTTGAGATTGCCAACACATAAATGGAGATAAAAGGATACGTGTCACCAAAGATGAGAGATATTGTTTGTATAGAAGCTATTATAAAGTGATATCAATATGTGATCGTGTTGAGAATAAAATTCATATTGATGGTAGGAGAAACCCTACAAAAGCTTTAAAAGAGGTTGGGTTACTCTCTATATTGCCAAATTGGTTTTATGGTGGAACCTCAACTTCTTCATGATATCAGAGCAGGTTGTCACACGTGTGAAGTCAAACGGCCACACACGCTCCATGTCACCCTGTTATATTGTCCACGTGTTAGGCTTAAATATTCGTCACACGTGAGGAGTGTGTTGAGAATGAATCTCACATTGATGGAGGAGAAACCTTGCAAAGACTTATAAGAGGTTGGGCTACTCCCTATATTATCAATTGGTTTTATGGTGGAACCTCAACTTCTTCAATGTTTGATTTAGTGACATGTGACATTATCTGGCGCATTAGGTTGTTAGTAGAAATCGTAAACTAGTTTGTTAGTAGTTTGTTTTGTATAAATAGCTTATGAGCTATCTGTTGTAACCAAGAATCATTCAATCAATATAGAAAAGCACTTCTTTCTTCTTTATTTTTCTCTGTTCTTCAGCTTTCTCAAATTTTCATCGTTATTTGCTTTTTTTCAATGTAGTTAATTCCCTAATACCATAAGTCTAGACTGTGTAGCAAACATGGAAATTAAGCTCTAATGCAGCTTTTCAATTCCCGTGATACCGACCCGATCGAAAGCAAAAGCAGCATTGCTTTGGAAATCTGTCGATTATTCAAGACGTACGAAGTTGTGCAAAATACATTTCATTGGTCTAAGACCCTACAATACAAATTTAATTGACCTAAATTTTGAATGGTAGAGCCCTAACTTGGGTTCAGTACTCAGTAATCTTCAAGTCCCCCATGTTTAGCAGTACTCGATGCATTCTGTCATTTGCCAACATACTGTATGTTGTGATGAAACCAACTAGTCAAACCTAGCACTCCAACTTGAGACTTCTCAAAAAAATATCACTAGATTGTAGTACCACCAAACTTAAATCCAATGAAAAAGCTTGCTTTGCATCCTTTTCTTTTTCTTTTATGGCGATTCACTAAAGAGATACAAACATATTCAATCACAATTTAACAAGCCACACAGAGTTTATAGGGAACGACCGAAATTTTAAAATTTGTGAACCAAATCAAAGCCCCTTTGTGTGATTTGAAGTAGTTCGGTTTGTGAAATCAAACCTATTCCGTCAATTCAAAGGAGTTACGATTCTATTATTATCTAAACAATAATAAAGGCCGTGAAAATTGAGCACTAAATTTGATACATTATTGAATATTCTTAACCACTCCTTCACGAGGAGTTTCGATAATGTGGCCAATATTGAACCCTCGAGTAGTCAATTAAATAGGCATTGGTTTAACAATTGAAACCTCTCCAAACCATAGTGAAAGAGTTTTTGATTTGATGGGAAAAAGAACACAACTAGTCTTTCCAAAGTGCTAGCTAGGTTCATTTTGGACGGTGGATTAATGAACATTCCTCCTTGATGGCACCCCATGAATTAAAGACCTAACCAACTATAAGAAAAGTAACCTGTGAGTGACCTTTGTCTTTCATTTTCAAGGCCAAGAAAGTCCTCAACACTAATCCAACGTAGCTGATTATTACTTACTGTGCATGCTTTATCAACACACCCTTTCTCTTATCGATCGCCATGGTCAACTTTGCCACCAATCCTTCGAAGACTTTGGAGTGCAGTGAGTGTTAACATAATTATAAATGACATTGATGTGGAAACTCGACGCGGTATAAGCAGTTCAAAGTGCATTTCTTGATTTTTGCCAACTAGGTCAACTATCAATCTCTCAGTCTCAGTGTTCGTTTCCTGAATGGCAAGTCTAGGGTTTAAAGAACTTTCTACATAGTCTCCATCCATTTCAAGTCAAAATCGTCATTATTTGAAGTAAAAATGTGTTTTCAGATAGTTCTTAAAGGAGTACCTAATTAAAATGAATACATATATAAATAATAATTGCAAATATCTGGGTATATTTCCATTTCATCCAACGTTGATATTTCTGATTGTTTGTCTATGTTTTTGATGTGCAACATCCTTAGGGGAGCACCTAATTAAAAAAATAACAGTTTGGGATCATTAAGATAAACCACTATTACGAAAATGGGACAATAGAACCTTGTATGAACCGTGTATTTATTGTATACATATGATCCTCGTCTTTCTTAGAAAAATAGTGAATAAGAGGACCTACATAATGGTCTTGTCCCTCCCTCCAGTTTTTACTATGGTAAAATGGGATCAAGAAGTTTTTACACACACACTTATTAAATACATTGCTTAATTACAGGATCCTTGCAAAAAAAAAATGCGGACAATGTGTGGGGCATACCCCACACAGAAGTTTAACAGGTTCTTGCGGCTGAACATGCATGCGTCGGATTAACATCTACCTTATGGTCAGAATCTTCAATTTGGAAGCTCTGCTGGTGCATCAGGCCAACAAGACATGTCCAAGATTGCCATTATTAGCAAGAAGCGGGGTCACATGCATGGCTGCAGACCCTCCTAATACGTATTGTGTATTTTTCAAGTTTCAGTTCATATAGATGAATCTTACAAAGTATTAGTCAAACCATAAATGTTTGTGATATATTGTTGTGTTATCAATACTTAATCGTTATGTTGTCAATATTTTATTTTAGTTGTTTAGCAATTGAAATTTGATTGAAATTATTTAAGCCAATTTCTAAAAGTTCAATGGATGACATTCATTTTCTCCTTTTTTATCCATGTGATTATCAGTCTATTGTCGATTTTAACTTTTTTAAAGAAGGCTTTCTATAGCATATATAATAATGTTATCATTTTACCTTGATAAAACTAGTACTGTAGCACATGCCATGGAAACTGAATTAATTAACATGTTAACTTGCCCTTAAGATATGCTCACACACAAACCCCATACCAATTATTTACAAGCTATTAATCGATTTTTCTTCATCACAATTTTTTTAGGACTGTTAAGCCCACTCTCCAACGTAGGGTTGGGTTCGGTTCGAAACGGTTCAGTTTTTTTGCCAAAACTGAAATTGAATTGAAATTTCGGTTTGGTTCAGTTCATTTTTTTTCGGTTCAGTTTCGGTTTCCGAACCTCAAAAACCGAAACCGAACTGACAAGATTTGGTTCGGTTTGGTTTTATAGTTTTGGTTCAATTTTTTTCAGCCTCGGTCCGGTTTGATTTTCGATTTTTTGAACCCATCCCTACTCCAACAAGACCAAATATTCTACACTTAGAACTCTTTGTGGCCTCTCTATGTTTTACCTCAATGCTTGACATCTGTCTCTAATGCTTCCCATCCCTATCACCCCTATCACCCCTATCACTTGTAAAGAACTTGACCTCGAGTTCTCCTTGAGTCGAAAAATTAAGTAGACAAGCTTGATCGGCAAATAAATTCTTCAACTCAAGGAGTCCAAGCTTCTTTGTGCCTAGATGGTACAATCATGAAAACAAGATCATAAGTAAAAATGAAATATGAAATTTTATAATTTAATTCCTTCTTGATTGACGACTCTTGCACCCCTTACTTGTTCAGTCAATCTTGAAATTTAAATCCACATTTATCGGTTGTGGATTTTTCAAATCATCTTTATCACGTAATTGAATTCATATCCATACCTCGAGTTTCATAGTGGATCATTATAACTGGTCATGTGTGATGTTTCAGGATCCCTTCTTTAAGCAAAATAGAGTTCGCAATGGGTACAATACTTCTTCTTCAGGCTCTTCCGCCATATCTTCTTTGCACATTAGATTATCATTTTGGCCACCACTTCCCATCTTAATAGATACAAATATATTCAAACAAAAACCATACCTTTACAAGTCATTTCATTGTACGCCAAATTTTGATAGGATTATTATTTTTTTCTTTTCAGTGACATTACCCTTTAAAAGGTATAACTAAAAAGTAAATAAGTTTTTTTATTATTATTAAATGGCTTATTTCTGTCACTTAGCTAGCACTACGATTTGTAATATTCATCTTCACCTTTAAGTGAGAGGCTTATGTTCGATTCACATTATTACTAGCTCATTGTGAGGCTAAACCTATTCCTTTTTTCTCTTAGTGTAGATAATATCATTTGTTAAAAAAAAAAAAAAAAAAAAAAAAAAGAAGGTTATTTCTCTTATCATCATTTGATGCGTACATAATAACTGTAAATGCTAAACTTTTACATGATCTAAAGGTAGTGATCAAATTTGTTCTCTTTCATAATTCAAAAACCTTGTCTTATTAAGTGCTTTATCTTTTGGGAAATTTTATTTGAATCCATGCAACTTCTTTCTACATCCAACTTACTCTTTATACCCATATTATTTTTAACTAAACTACCAATATTGCATTTCTCAAGTATTTTGAGGATGAGAAAGATGTTGATGGTGCTGAGAAATTTTGTGAGATTATGAAGCGTCTAGGTTGTCTCAGTTGCAATGAGTATTAT